GTCTGTTTCTGTGTGTGGAACTATATGAATTCTTATTTTTGGCATTTTAAAGATGTGATATACTGAATTTACGGGTTTTTTTGAAAAGTTCTAAGGACTTGATTTATTCATCAACTATACAAATGCAAACCGGTCCCTTAGTTTAAAAAAAAAAAAAAAAGAAAGAAAAGAAAAAATTTACATGTTTGCGTTCAGATCAAGCTTTTGAAGGGTTTGTTTTTATAGTAAATAGAGAATTTATTACTAAAACAAAAATTCTTGGTAATTCTCAGTCTTTTTGAACAAAGAAATCTTAATTCATGAAAACTTAACTACATAAATGAATATGCCATTTACATAGTCAAGCAGTCTGATGAACATAGTAGATTTTTGCCCAGCTAAATGAATACGAAAGGAGAGAGAAATTTAAAACTTAGAGAAATATGTCCGGTGTTCCAATAGAAATAATTCTGAAACATGTTAACTCGTGTAGTATAAGATAGAGAATGTAGCCATTAGAAAAGTTTAGTTTATTAATATTTGAGCTAATTGTATTTCCAGAACCTATCTCTTAGGTCAGGATGGTATCAGAAGCTTACAGAAGGAAAGTAAAGTCTGATGTTTGCTAACTTCACCATATAGTAGAAGTGGTAGAGAAGGAAGTACAATTGGCTTCAAAGTCAAAATCCTGTTCTAGTGCTGACTAGCTATATGACCTTGAGAAAGCTACTGAACTTCTCGTAGTCTCTGTTTTTGTCTATAATATATGGATAGCTAATAATACCTTTTCTGCAGGCCTGTTGAAATTTGATAGATTCTTTACACTGTGTATGTAAAGAACCTAGCAGTGTCTTATACTGAGAAGGTACTGAAAAAAAAAGACAGCAATTCTCATTATTACTACTACTGATATGGATGAGGGATGAGATGACTAGCTCCTCTGTTTCTGATTTTTGTGCCTTTCTTTTCTGGGGTTTTGGTGGTTTTCATTAGGTTATACAACTGCTTATGCTGCTTAGAAGGCCCAGGAGGAGAGTGAAATCAGTTCTCTTCTCTACCTTCTAATTCTCTGAAAAAAGAAACCTCTCTGTGGCACTGATACCTGTTGGCTCCTCACTGGCAGGAAGCCAGGTCTTACTTTTCTCTCCCATAACCCAGACTGACAGGAACATTTGTGTTTTCTCTTCTGGTCTGTTTCCATTCTCTCTCTGATGGGGAGTTAGTAAATTGAAGAGGTTTCGAGGTGCTTATAACTCAGATCTTTGAGCCCATTGTGTAGGTCAT